TTTTTCAAATTAAAAAAACAAATAAAAATATTACTAATTAAATTTATTTTAATTAAAAATAAAATATATCACGTACCTTCATAAAGCTGTTGTCCCAACAGTCGTGGAATCTCCCATCGTTTTCAAGCGTCACCTTTCACCGACAATATATCATTGGTCGACATTCCTAAAAGTATGACATTTCAGCTTTGAACCCTAATGAGGCGTTTGGTTCGTCGGAATCCGCCGAAATCTAGTGGAATTGAAATTTGACCAAATTCCATTCCAACGTTTGGTTACCCATGGAATGAAATTGAATTCGAAAGATTCCATCATTTGAAGATTTCACCATTCCTTCCTAAAACTGATGGAATTGAAATCTATTCTATCCAAAAATATGTAAATGACAAAAATACCCTCATGATGCTTCCAGTTTCTTCATCGATTGATTATTGCTTCCTTCCAATTTATGCTTCTCCCAATTTCTGCTTATCGATTACTTCTTGCTTTCAAGAAAATGAAACATCATTGCAAGACGAAAACTGCTTTCTTATAGATTACTGCTTGCTTCCCGATTATTACTTGCTTCAGATAACTGCTTGCTTATCGATCCTTGACAAATAACTGCCATCAATCAACCCCTATAAAACTAAGTTTAAAACTCATAATGATGATGATAATTCTTTGAATTTTAAGAAAATAAAACTACATACTTGCCTTTTGTTGTAACAAAAAGAATTTGTCTAGTTAGACGCACAAATTGTCTGTTTAGAAATTCTGTGCAGACAAAGTCATTAAATGCATTCTCAATCCAACGTGGTCATACAAAAAAGCACCATTCTCTAGAGCACACTGCTCTCATAGTTGTACTCTTCCATCAGAAACTCTAACATCGAAATATTGCATTCTTCCATCCTCGCGGTTGCGGTAAATGACAAACAATCCACTGATAGCAATCAGATCGCCATATGCTTACAACACTTCATTCAAATAAAAACACATCATATTTTAGCTTGAAAGTGTGACAATTCTGCATTTTGGAATTTCAGGTTAGTACCTCATTTTAGGACCTTTATTGAAAACTAAGTATTTCTAGGATTTAGCTTTGATGATCGGTGATCATCTTGATCAACTCCCAAGATCAGTTTGTTAGGTCACGTTTCGGCGGGTAGCTAACCAAGTTAGTTCGTGCAATGCCAAATAGTCTTGAAATATTTCACATAAAAATAAAGCTGATATTTTCATTTCGTTCTTATTAAAAATTCAAATTTCCAAAGTTCCAATCTTTTATATTTGGTTGCCAATTATTAATTTTGAAAGAGTGGAGTTTTAAAAATCTTTTGTCAAAATTGTTTTATTTGTTGTATTTATCGAGGCCTTGTATTTAGTAATTAAAAGCCTTCTTGGGCCTGGACCTTTAGAGTCAGCTCATTCCTTCTCTTGAAGCTCCATATAAATACCCCCTTCTMTTTTGAAAATTCTTCATCCTTCAAAATTTCCAGCCATTTCGTTTTTCTTTCTCTAACATTCATCACCTTCCAACCGATTACATCTCCTTGCAAAGCTCAAAGATTTCTGCTGTTCTTGAGATTTGTTTGTATCATTTCGACCAAGAAAATGTATGTTTTAAAAGCTGTTTATTCTCTTTAGTTGTTCGAAACTCGTTATCCTTCTCCCTACTCGATTCTTTGAGTWAGATTTATGGGATTTAAAGAGGAGAGATTATTCATCAAAGACCTACATGTGTCTTCATAGAGATGATAATCTGTGACCCAAGATTCTTTAGTCCCTAAGAAAGAAGAAGAGAGTTATTGCATGTGAGGTCCGATCATATTCTTGGATGATTGAATCTTGCATGCATCTTTAAATAGGATTTCCCATCCTATTAGTCTGCTGGAATCAAAATTCTTATTTGTTTTGTTTACTTTTCTGGAATTTACTTAGAAATGGTGATTTTGTGTTAAAATCTAAGTTCTTGAAAATGTTAAGCATAAAACCCCTCCCCATAATCGCTATCATTCTTGGTGCATGCAACCGGTTTTAGGGAGGCGTGAGGCTCAAGGTTGTAGATTATTCTTGAAAAGAGTGTTAAACCCACTCAAAATCTATTGATTTTGGTAATTGGCGGCTGTCATCATTGTTTTGGGATGACTTAAAATGATGTCATTAATGGGATTTTGGAAGGTTTCTTTTTAATAAATAATTAAATATCGGCTTTATTTTATAAAAACACTTGATGGCTTTGCGTTTAGAACAACTTTGCTCTACCTTAGGCAGGAGACCGTAAGTATTAAAGCATTGGTTTGGTTTGTCAGGAAGTTCGAGCAAGCTWAGAAAGCCTCTAAAAGGAATCTTTGGATATTCATCAAACCGGTGAGTTCTCACGGCCCTACTTTTAATGCTTTTTATATATTTTCTGGGGGAAAAACATGAGATTGAGCAAACTTTGCATGTTTATGTTATTTGAAATGTTGGGACTAAAGAACTGTTTAGTCGATGCTTTGGTCAAAGCTTTGGACTAAGGAACTGCTTAGTCAAGCTCTGTTGAAACCTCTGGACTAAGGAACTGCTTAGTCGGGTTTATTATGTTTTGTTTTGACAACTGTTTCTGCACTTAGAATAAATGCTAAATTGATGCGCTTGAGAGTATATGTTTCCAAATAAAAGTCCCCGTCCGTACACGCTACTTGTTAACTCGGGTACATTCCCGGGCCGTGGTATTGTGGATAACCGCTATTGTGTTGACAGTCCCATCCAGAAAGGGGTGCACAATTACCTACGTTTTCTAGTCTAATCATGTGGAATTTGGACCACCGCTGAATTAGTACTTTATCGAACTGTGGAACCTAAGTAGTGAACGACTACTTCTGGTTGTTCGAAAATTAATGGGGCACATTGGTCAGGTAAGGCTCAGTAGCGTCTCAAGTGTTACATCGCGAGGGATTTACATTTATTAAGTGCAAAGAATTCGCATAAGTTTGCTATTACTTGGTTTATGCATTGAAATGTTTTATGCACGTGAAAATCCGTGAACTCACCAACTCTTTGTAGTTGACTTTGTTTTATTCCATGCTTTTCAGGTTCTAAGTAAAGTTGTTTGGATTTTGGGGGCGTACTTGAGCATGGATCGATTAAGTCAAGATTTTGATGTATTTATGAACGTTGTGTAATTTCTAACTCCTGTCATGTCGATGAATCGTTTTATTTTGAATAACTCGAAATAGTGTTATTTATAAACTGTTGCTATGACTCGCTTGCCTGTTACATCTCGTGATTCCGCTTTAGCGGGGTGTGACAGAGAGTGTGTAGAAGGTTCTAGAAAAACTTTACATCATTAAGTCCCTTTCAACATAAATGCTCTGTTAGGTGAATCAATCAGTCTAGAATCAGAATTAGAAAAATGAAGCGTTATTTGAACCGATTAGCATTAAATCAATAAAGTCTTAACATAAATTATCTTAATGAATAAATGCAACAGAGCATAGATGGCGTTTAGGAGTGAGTTAATCGAAAGATGATGATACGTTACATGAATTTCTGTCGAATAGCTTTAATCCAATCATGACGATGTTAATCAAGAAGCATTTAAAGCAAAGAAAACATTTAAACCCCAACAAATAAAGCAAAGAAAACCCATCAAACCTACACTAAGTTTTACAAACAGACGTCAGATTTTATCTGGAGAAGACGTGCGCACACATTGGGTGTAGGTTAGGATTAGAATGAATTTCAATTTGTAGATAGAGATAAGGATAAACGTGAGATATACATACATGAGCATAGTTAAGTTGTACCAAAAACAACAATAACCTGTAAACTTGAAAACTAAGTAATTTGACTTTATTTATCGATAGAAAATGCTTAAAAAGTTGTTTTTAAGAGTTTGATTGAAATGATTTATAATGCAACTAGAAGACTACTCGCGCAATGCAGCGAGACACATCTCGATTTTAATGTTCTATTTTATTATTTGTCTATGTCGATGTTATAATACGATTTTATGTGTTTTTAAGAAAACAATAATGATTTTATTTTTGAAAAAAATATAAATTTGAAGATATCATAAAAATTGAAAAAAATATATCAATGTCAATATCAAATCAACTATTTAAAAGTTCTCATTTTTATGTAATTTTTTTATATTACAATTTAATTTAAGTTTAATAACGAAATAATTTATTTTTGGTTTGATAATATAACATTTTATAAAGATAATAATTAAAATTATGTTAGTTATCAATAATTATCCTAATTATAGATTTTTTATATTTAAAATAAGATGTTTATCTTGTATTTGATTATATTTATCAGCAGTTAGTTACATAAATTCAGATATGGAGCTTTAATAAGTTGTCCTTACGTACAATCTACTTGTAATCTTGATTTTTAAGTAATATGCATTAATAAACAGTACTTTACACATAAAAAATGGTTTTTAAGAGTTTTTGTCAAATGTTTTATAATATAGTATAGATATAGATGTATACAGATAATAGGGACGTTCCAATCTTTTTGAAAACCATGTTACATCCAAAACTTTTAATTACATTGCATAAATAAGATAATAGAGAATATACGTTAAGAACAAAAATGAACTAAACCTAAAACGATTAACAATATGAAACTGAACTCAAACCATTAATGATTTGAACCTAAAACCAAACAATCAATGGTTTGAATCTAAATAACTTCGGCTATAGTTTTACATAAGTTGATAAAAAAACCTAAACATATGTAAATTTGGGCCCTAAAATTTTGTTCAAAATATCACATTTAACATGCTAAGGGACGACACCTACAAATAAATAATGAAATAAAATTTGCATTAATTTCTTAAAAGAAAATGTATAACTAATAAAAATTCAAAATTATTAGATTTAAAATTAAATATTTGGATAAGCACAGACCCATATGAACAGATACATTAAGCCCAATTATAAGCCCAATTATATTTTGATCTATATGTAGTTCGACTCAAAAACCTATTTCTCTTTGCCCAAAACCCTAGTTCCCCTGATTCTCTCTGCCACCCCGACCCACTGAAATGGCCGCCGCTCGCCCTCTCGTCACCGTCCAACACCTTGAATCGGACATGGCCACCGACGGTGCCGGCGTTCCTCTTCCCCACGTCATGAAAGCTTCTATCCGTCCTGACATCGTCAACTTTGTCCACTCCAATATCTCCAAAAACTCCCGTCAACCCTACGCTGTTTCCAGAAAGGCCGGCCACCAGACCTCTGCTGAGTCTTGGGGAACCGGACGTGCCGTATCACGTATCCCTCGTGTTCCTGGCGGAGGAACCCACCGTGCCGGACAGGGTGCTTTCGGTAATATGTGCCGTGGTGGTCGCATGTTCGCACCTACCAGGATCTGGCGCCGTTGGCATAGGAAGATCAATGTGAACCAGAAGAGRTACGCTGTSGTTTCRGCCATTGCTGCTTCTGCKGTGCCGTCGCTTGTKATGGCYCGTGGTCAYCGTATYGARTCGGTKCCTGAGCTTCCRTTGGTTRTTAGCGATTCTGCWGARGGYGTTGAGAAGACTCAGAAYGCWATYAAGGTKTTGAAGCAGATCGGMGCTTATSCTGATGCWGAGAAAGCTAAGGATTCWGTYGGSATTCGTCCTGGRAAGGGGAAAATGAGGAACCGTAGGTATATTTCACGTAAGGGACCTTTGATCGTGTATGGTACTGAAGGTGCCAAGCTTGTGAAGGCTTTTAGGAACATCCCTGGTGTGGAAATTGCAAATGTTGAGAGGTTGAACTTGCTAAAGTTGGCTCCTGGTGGACATCTTGGAAGGTTTATTATCTGGACCAAATCTGCCTTTGAAAAGTTGGATTCCATCTACGGATCATTTGATAAGACAAGTGAGAAGAAGAAGGGTTATGTTTTGCCAAGGGCAAAGATGGAGAATGCCGATTTAGCTCGGATAATCAATTCTGATGAGGTGCAGTCTGTGGTGAAGCCGATTAAGAAGGAGGTCAAGAGGGCTCCAATGAAGAAGAATCCATTGAAGAACTTGAACACCATGCTCAGGTTGAACCCATATGCTAAGACTGCCAAGAGGATGGCTGTGCTTGCTGAGGAACAGCGAAAGAAGGCCAAGAAGGAAAAGCTTGACAGCAAGAGGAAACCCATCTCTAAGGTACATGTGATTGATTTTCATCTTCATGTCATTGAATGTTCATGTATGCTTGCTGTTCAATCTCATATAACATTTAGATTCTCAGCATTTCTTGGCTCTTGTTAACATTAGTTGCTGGTTTTGAAATAAGTTCTAACGTGTGCCTAGACTTGTATGCTTTGCTTAGAAATTATAAGGTTATGCATTGAGGCTGATTTATAGGTTATTGTGTTGGGTGGAATGTGCTAGTTTAAAGTAAATATGCTTTTGCAGTCTGTAAAGATTCATGTGTGCTCTTACTACTAAGCTATTCAAGATGAAGTAGGGTGTTTGTATTAGTGACCATGTGTTAATCCAGACAGGATTCTTGTCAAATATTCTTGGAGATTATTGTAATTTTATAATATATCTTGCACTTTGCCCTAGCAAATTGTGACACTATCTTTTTGTGTGATTTTGCATGAGTATTTAAAATAGTTTCTTTTTCCCCATAATTATATTGGAAACTTGCTTGCCCATTTACAAAGAATTGATGATACTGATTTGGGATTACAAATTTTTGTGTACTTTCATAGTATGGATTTTTGTGGTACAGAGTATATTGTTGCACAGCTCACAAGGTTCTTAGTTACAGTTTGGTTACGGGTTTCTGTTGGCACTCCTAATTTAAGGATCCATTTGAAGATAACCAAAACCATCTGTTGTTTGCTCTTTGTAACTGTACTGTTAAAGTTTGTGCTACCTCGTTACTTGTAACAGTTTGTTAAATCTTTGGCTTTCTTAGTTTCGGCTGCTGAAATCATGGCACATTTTTATTGGTACATGTGCATGTAGGTGTTTCCAGTAACCTGTCTTCATCCATTATGCTAGTTTTGCTGAAATCATTGCACATTATTATTGGTACATGTGCATGTAGGTGTTTTCAGTAACCTGTCTTCATCCATTTTGCTAGTTTTGATCCTGTAACTTCCATGGTTACAACCATGATTGCTATCTTGGGTTTAGGGTCCCAAATAGCAACGCCCTTTTAATTGTTTGATTTTTTTTGGCTTCATTTACTAACTGTGTTTTTATGACCTGGTTTTGAACAGGAGGAAGCCACAAAAATCAAGGCAGCTAGCAAATCATGGTACAAGACTATGATTTCTGACAGCGACTATGCCGAGTTTGATGTTTTCACCAAGTGGCTTGGTGTTTCACAGTAATCCCTCTTTCCTCTCACATGGTTCTAAGGTGCATCTGTTAGGTTTTGAGATAGAAGTTTATAAAAGCACTTTGTTGTGTTTTTGCTAAAATTGGATTTTTATGAGTTTAATTTGGCAATGAGTTTTGTTATGATTGAGTTTCATTTCTGTTATTATTGAATTTTAATCTATGTTACATTTCATGCATCTCTTTGTTATTCATACACTTGAATGTTTTTGCGTAGGCCGTTAAAAACAGAACCATACTAAAAAGAAACCGCAAAGTAGAAGTAAATTGTACATAGGTTCCATTAAGTTGTGTACCATGAGGTCTGATGACATGTTTATAGTTTTTTGTTGATGTTTTATGATTTTTGCATACTATTAGCCTACTCATGCTCATCTGTCAACTAACCCATGGTTTTAGTCCTGTAGAGTTTGGCTAAGCTTCACTTGTGATGCATAATGAATTGGTGAATATAAGAAGTCATGTAAGATTCTAGTAGAGCCGAGAGTCTATGTGACCAATTGTTGGTCATATTCATCTATGCATACTTTTCCGCCAAACGAAATGCACAACTTGAGGTAAGAATTGGCATTAGTTTGGGCTTTTACTAGGTCCAAACTGTTGGCTAATTAGAGTAGAGGGCATGCGAGTGCAATAGTGGCAACAATTTTGACTACCCACCGACTCCGGGCTATTTGCAAAGCAGGTGGTCGTCCTGGGATTAGTCGGCTCGCATAACGGGTTGGATATCCAGGTTAATTAAAAAAAATTCTGAGTACTCACTGTATACAGGTGAAAGAATTCTAGAGGGGGTATAATGTTACGGTTTTAATTTGATGTGGATAGTTTTGTAATTTAAGAATCTTATCCCCCATCTACATGACTCTGTCTCACCTATTTTGGTTCCCAATCTAATATTGCACCAAATCTGGGACATCAAGTTTTTGTATTTACTGAACACTCCATCAACGGTTTGAAGGTTACTTGTCTATCTCTTGGATTTGAAATTCCACGGAGTGGTTGGTGTTTTACGGGTTGTAGGATTTATGTGTAATTATCTATATCTATACTATATTATAAAGCATTCGATAAAAACTTTTAAAAACTTTCTTTTATTAATGAAATATTGTTTATTGATGTATATTATTTAAAATTCAAGATTATAAGTAATTGTATGTAAATACTATTTATTAAATCTCCATATTTGAATTCATGTAACTAACTGTAGATAAATATAATTAAATATATGTTAAACATTTTATTTTAAATATAAAAAATATTAAATTATAATTAAGATAATCATTTAATTATAATAGAATACTTAATTATTCTTTTTATAAAAAACTACATTATTAAATCTAAATGAAATTGTATTAAAAAATTACACGAAAAACGAGAATTTTAAATGGTTAATTTGATATATATATATATATATATATATTTCAAATTGATATGATATCTTTAAATTGATATTTTATTTAAAAATAAAAATATTATCGATTTCTCAAAACCGTATAAAACTGTATTATATCGACAAAAACAAAGAATAAAATATTAACTTAAAATCGAGATGTATTGGACTACATTGCAGGAGTACCCTTCTAGTATTTTAAAATGTATATGATCATTTGTTTTTTAATACTTAATTTAATAAAAAACAATTTAATTATTTTTTGTTGTAGGATTAGTGTGTTATGGTCTAAATGATATGATGATAGAGATATAGATACATACATTAGAGTTAGATTACAATTAAATATTTTGTAGTTATTTACTTGTAACTCTTCATTATATAAAGGACTTATGATTAGCGAGAATTATAGATTCTTTCTCTCTATTCTATTGTTGTTCTATTTCGTTTATACTATAACACGTTATCAACACGTACGCTTTATGTATATTGAAGGGTACTCGCGCAATACATAAGATACATCTCGATTTTAATGATTTTTTTATTCCGTCTCTGTCAATGTAATAACATGATTTTATATGGTTTTGAGAAAATGATAATGTTTTTATGTTTGAAGAAAATATAAATTTGAAGTACCCATAATTTTTTTTTAAAAAAATATAGATATTAGAATCAAATTAAATATTTAAAAGTTTTTTTTTTTTTGTGTAATTTCTTTAATTCGATTTTTTATTATAATTTAATAATGATGAAGTAATTTATTTCCGGTTTAATATTATAATTTTTTTAATAAATATGATAGTTATCAAATTCAGCTCTTTAACTTTAAATTCTCTTGATTAAGAGACCGTTTACCAAACGCTTATCCGGGTAAGTATTACCAAGTCATATTACCTTACCAGATGATTATGATAAGGACCATAGAATCTTATCCGATAAGAGCGAGACAAGGAACAAGAGTCTTACCCGGTAAGTGAGAGCGACGATTCTTACCATGGTAAACGCTTACCAAGTAAATTGTTGTATACGATGTCATTTTGGCGGACTAAAATCATAACCATCAAGTAAATGATAGTGTTAAATTTTACCGATAAATGCTTACCGGGTAAGTGTTCGGTAAACGACCCCTAAGTTCATAATTTTTTGAATATATTTTTAAATTTTACTTTAATTAGTTTAATTAGTATTGTTATATATCAATATAAGTTTATTCACTCGATTACATTTTGAAACCCTATTATATTTTTATTAATTATGATATGAGCTTTGATAATAATGAACATATTATTATTTACTGTTGGGTTAAAATATATTTTCATTGGACAAACAAACTACATGTAATTATTACTGATTTTAGACCATCTTAAGATTATGCAGCTTAAAAATTGTTGTAAAAAAAGTTTTTTTTTTGGTATTGATGTAAATATAGTTCATCGTATTTATTGATTGGTTTCTTTTATTTATTAAATATTTATTATATTATTATATTATTATATTAGGTTGTTATATAAATTTAATTTTGATTCAAAATATTTTAATTTTGATAGTTTTTGTCGTTTTGAACTGTTATTATTATTTATTAATGTTTATCCAATTAGTTTCTAATATTCGTATATGGTTAATTCTAATGTTTATCTTAGAGGTTGTTTACCAAATACTTACTCGATAAGTGTTTATCAATAAAATTTAATACTATTATTTATTTACTGGGTAAAATTTTAGTCCACCAAAACGACATCACATGCAACAATTTACCTGGTAAGTGCTTACCGTGGTAAGTCGTCGCCTTCACTTACCGGGTAAAACTCTTGGCACCTGTCTCGCTTTTTCTGGGTAAGATTCTTGGTCTTTACCATATTCATCCGGTGAGGTAACGTGACTAGGTAAGCACTTACCCGAGTAAGCATTTGGTAAACGACCCCTTAATATGCTTATATTTAGATGTTTATCCAATTTGTTTACACTATCATTTATTTATGTTAATATTTAAACGTTCATCTTAATTATAATTCACAATCTTATAATCAATTTCTGGAAGTTACACTTCCACCTCTATAACTTTTCGTTTTTCGCCAAAAGCTTTAAAAATTAGCATAAAAATATCAAAATATTATTAACGCTTATCTTGATTATGGTTCGTACTCGTCATTTTTAATCTTAATCAATATTTGGAAGTTACACTTTCAATCCTATATTTTTGGCGTATTGCCAAAAGCTCCTATAATTTTTTTTGACCTTATGTCAAAATCTACCAAATAAATAAATATTATCTATGTATTTCATAAATGAAATAACAGATCGAATTGGGGCATAGTTCGTATATTATCCCTTATTTACGTAAATGGTTGAAATAACCCATTCGTGATTCGATATCTTAAACTCTTAAGAACTTGAATACAAATATGAATATCCAATGTATAGACTATTTTGTTGGAAAAGTACAATAAAATCCATCAAAACCTATTGATCCTAAAAATCAATTGTTAAAGTACAAGTAAATAACTTGAGATTTTTGAGACGAAATACGCAACCTTCAAAGGAAAGATCCTTAACTAGAATCCCCCAAGAACCGTGGGATGCCCTGAAAAGGAAAATCGGGAGTATTCATGAGGGCTGTAAAAGAACCGAATATTTAGCAAACCGTTCGGCGAGAAGTTCGTTTATGCTCGTTATTTAATAAATAAACGATCATGAACAATATTTTTTGTTCGTTTAGTTAAACGAACGAACATGAACAAGAGTCTCGTTCGTTCATTTATGTTTGTGAACGTTCGTTTATTTACCGTTCGTTTATATTCATTCGTTTATGTTCGTTTATATATTAAATTTAATATATAATCTTTTATTTATTTACTTTGAATTTAAATAATATTTATTTATGTTCGTTTAACATGTTGATTTAGCCCGTTCGTTTATGTTCGTTCATGACGTTCGTTTAGCATGTTAACGAACGAACATAAACGAACACGAACACACCTTATTTCTAAACGAACGAACACGAACATAAAGATTTTCGTTCGTTTACCGTTCGTGTTCGCTCGTTTGTTTGGTTAAGTTAAACGAACGAACATGAACAACAAGCTTCTGTTCGTGTTCGTTCGGTTCGTTTACAACTCTATCCATTATCATGTACTTCCCAAACTAATCATACATTGGAATGAACCCCACTGGACTACAAAAGGTGATTGATTACAACAAAGAAATGTTGTGTCCAAAATGCACCTCAATCTTCGTGGTAAAGAACTCACAGAAGATGACACGATTCATAAATTTACTTCCACCTTTTCATATATCAGTAAATATTAATGAACAAATATAAGTTGTAATGTAACCTTTAGACAAACTAATCAACCTACTGGAAGTGGTTGAGAGACATAAAAAGGTTCTTTCAAATAACAATACTAGACATGTCGGGGTAAAGAAAGTTCCCTAGATCAATAATGAAAGTCGTTAGAGGTGGAAATAACTCTAAAGGATCATTAACCAAAATACTTATACTACTGCGTTACACACGGTTCCCACACTAGTAGTAATAATTAAACGACCCTCCAATCAACCTCCTAGTTACCCTCATGCCAACATAAACTTACCCAAAACCACTCGTAATTGCCAACTTCCTTTCCGTCTTATAGCAGTTCCATTTATGTCTGCATCAAAGCAATAAATAAACTTTAGGGAAGCAGAAGCAGTGAGCGGCAAGGTAGCGACAGGGGTGGTGAAGAAGTGAACGGTGAGGAAAGGCTATGGTTTTCAGGGAGAATGTGTAAAGTAATTTAGGAAGAAGCTGATATTTGAGAGCTTTTGAATTTTTTGTTGCTTTGAATGAAATACACGAAATACTTGTTCGGTTTGATTTTACCGATGACATGAAAACACGAGCTTTCCTCACAAACTATAAAACCGTCATATCAAAAAACAGCCAATCAAACGCAAAAAAAGAAAAAGAAAAAAGAAATCCATTTTTCCTTTGAATCAACCTACCAAAAGTAGAAGGACTGAATGGAGAAATCATCAAAGGATAGGGATGAGTTTTGAAACCTTTTGAGTCTGGGCATGGGTTTGCGTGCCGGGTAAACAACGTTATCTATCCCTTCCATATCAATTGGATAAAGACACGTCCATCTCAATACCCTCTTTGGTTTTTTTCCGATACAATCTAAATTTTTATTATTCATATATGAATTTGGAAAAAATACAGAAACAGAGAAGGTTTTAAACGAAAATATTTTTATTTTATGAGAATACAAGAATATTATTTTATTATAGACGATCATATGTGAATACGATTATTCCATTACATATGATACACATGTGATACTAAATAAGAGATGCAGACGATTTTTGATACGATATTGGTTGCGGGTTAAGTCGTCCTTACAACACTAAACCCCCTCACAAGTATTATCACATGTAATAAGAGTGTTGTTGATATAATATTATAATCCATTAAGACCATCATATGTGATACTAAATCATAAACGTATACAACCTTTGACGCGACCTAAGTCGTAGAACACGTCGTCTGCACATCACAGGGTCCCTTCACGCGTATTATCACATGTCTCGCGTTCTTGTAAAATGGAGGTGTTCCATCTCTCTCTCTCTCTCTCTATATATATATATATATATATATATCAGTTTCTATATAAAATAATCATTCATTCCAAGTTTTGTTTAGGGGATGTTTGGTAGTTGTTGAATGATTTGGTGCAGAATGATTAAGAAGTTCTTATGATATAGTGTAAAATAAAATATAATTGTTTGGTAATTATTTACAATGAAATTAAGACGGTGAATGATTAAGGAATGCCTAAAATATAAAATCATGCATAGAATTTTAGAATCATTAAAAAACAGACTTAAATTTCATAATTAATAAATTATTATTTTTATTAAAAAAATATAAAAAACATAATACGACTTTTCTTTAAAAGGGCATGGTGAGGAAGATAGTCTCTGTAGCAATCTTGTATCCTTTCCACTCGACGCCAACCAGTTGACAATTTCAAATAACAATCCATACCCTCCTTACATACATACATACATATATACGTATCATCATCATCTTCATCTTGATTCAATTCAATCATGTCGTCTGCAATAATACCTTCATACAATTCGAATCACACCAAGCTCAAAGACTATACTGAAAATGATGAAGAACCCACCACCCGAAGAATCCGCCTCCTGTCTCTCCACCTAAATCCGTTGCCGGACCACCACCATCACCACCATCTTCTTCAGTTGGAATCGTGTTCCGGCCGTGCCAAGATGAGCGTAAACGCCGAGAAACTGTCAGGTTACTTGAGGAGAAAACATAGGGACATACAAGAGAGGGTTTTCGAGTATTTCAATTCGAGACCTGATCTTCAAACCCCGATTGAGATCTTGAAGGACGATTATCGAGAGCTTTGTATGAGGCAACTTGTGGGTCTTGTTAGAGAGGCTGGGATCAGACCTTTTAGGTATGTTGTTGAAGACCCTTCAAAGTATTTTGCAATAATTGAAGCTGTTGGTAGTGTTGATATGTCTCTTGGCATCAAATTGGGCGTCCAGTACAGGTAATTCTGTCGTTTCTTTCTAATTGATTCTGTCAGTTTATTACAATTGGGGTTATTATGAATTTGAATTCTTGTTTATAGAACATCAAAATTGTATGTGTTATCAGTAGTTGAGAGCCCTAGATATGCTATAATCTAACCTATTAAGATTCATTTATGTTGGAAGATGATTGATCCAAGATGATCCAATCTTCTTTCTTTCTTGAATCCCTTGAATCCGAATATGGAAAGAGGTCAGATATGCATACATCTTATCCCAAAACGGATCTCATACCGGGCTCGTTTGGTTTGGTCTTGTTTAGGGATTCTTTCACGCACTTTTCGCTCACTTGAACAGCCGCTCTACTGCTTAGGACAGAGGTCTGGGTACATCTTACCCCTAGACTCCACCTCCGAGTGGGATATACTGTGTTTGTTTGGTTTGGCTCTAGTCTTTAGTTAAAAAAACACTAAACAGCTCACGGAGGGTAAATTGGTCATTTTAACCAGTTCTGTCCAGTCCTCCCATGTCATACCAAACGTTAAACAGTTGTTCTGTTCTGTCTTGTCTTGTCCTATCCTGTCCTGTCTGCGTACCAAACGCACCCTAGATGCCAAATGTGGGATTGCATACCGGAAAATGCAGGAAAAGTAGGCATTCTTAATCTTTGAGAAGTTTAATGAGCTCAACTATGGTGTAAATTGCAGTCTATGGGGAGGCTCTGTGCTCAACTTGGGTACTAAGAAACATAGGGATAAGTACTTCGAAGGTATCGACAATCTCGAGTATCTCGGTTGTTTTGCAATGACTGAGCTTCACCATGGTAAGTATGCTTTTTCCAAACTCCATGCTTTTACTTTACTTCTTTGGAATAGATGTCATCTTCCCTAGGCCCCACCTCCAGGTGGGATTTTACACCTGCATGAAACCCCATTAGATTACTCTCCAAAAGAGTCCTTGATAGAGAAAGCACACTTAACATACTCTCTTTTGACCGTTTGTCCTTTAGGCTCAAACGTTCAAGGCATCCAAACCGTTGCTACCTTCGATCCCGTAACTGATGAATTTGTTATCACAACACCCAATGATGGAGCCATTAAATGGTGGATCGGCAATGCCGCGGTTCATGGCAAGTTTGCAACGGTTTTCGCCAAGCTCATGTTACCAACTCACGACACAAAGGTCGTTACTGATATGGGAGTCCATGCTTTCATTGTTCCAATACGGGATCTGGAGACTCATAAAACGCTTCCGGGGGTCGAAATAAATGATTGTGGCCATAAAGTAGGTCTAAATGGAGTAGATAATGGTGCTTTGAGATTTCGTGATGTGAGAATTCCCCGAGATAATCTTTTGAATCGATTTGGAGACGTGTCGAGAGATGGTACATACACAAGTAGCCTTCCGACTGTTAATAAACGATTTGCCGCCACACTAGGTGAACTTGTGGGCGGACGGGTCGGGCTCGCTTATTCCTCGGTCGGTGTGCTGAAAATTGCCTCCACCATTGCTATCAGATACTCGCTACTTAGGCAACAATTTGGTCCTCCAAAGAAGCCGGAAATTAGCATTCTTGATTACCAATCGCAACAACACAAACTAATGCCGATGTTGGCCTCAACTTATGCGTTTCATTTTGCCACGGTGAATTTGATCGAAAAGTATGCTCAGATGAAGAAGACCCAAGATGAACAATTGGTGGCGGATGTCCATGCCCTCTCGGCTGGACTCAAATCTTACGTGACTTCTTATACGGCCAAGTCCTTGAGCATCTGCAGGGAAGCTTGTGGCGGTCATGGCTATGCGGCAGTCAATAGATTTGGCAGCTTGCGGAATGATCATGACATTTTTCAGACGTTTGAAGGGGACAATACCGTGCTCTTACAGCAGGTTCGGTATTTAAATTCCTTCGCTTTATAGAATCTAAGAAAAATCTTGATATCCACATGTTTCGTCGCTTAGGCCATGTTTGGCAACCATCAGCTAGCTTATTTTTTGACTTATTGAAGAAGCCCCAATTAGTTACCCATTATGCCCCTTATATTTTTCAAATTAATTTTTCAACATGTCCTTTTAGGTCATTTTACATTGTCACTTAGTTTATTGACCACGAGTTAGCTGATCAGCCAGCAACTATCATATCAGCTAGTTTGCAAATCGTGACCTTGGTGGTTTAGCTGTTAAAACCAAGAAAGTATGTTTTTGTTTGTGGTTTAGGTGGCAGGTGATCTCTTGAAGCAGTACCAGGAAAAGTTCCGTGGCGGGACTTTTGCTGTTACGTGGAACTACTTGAGAGAGTCGATGAATACGTATCTTTCTCAGCCGAACCCGGTGACTGCTCGGTGGGAAGGCGAAGACCATCTACGAGATCCTAAATTCCAGTTGGATGCTTTCAGGGTAATCTTTTATTTTCTTGTATAATTCTTTAAAAGCTAAAAATACTAAATATGTTGTATGGAATTAACGGGTGGCTGCAGTATCGAACATCTCGGTTGCTTCAAAGTGCTGCTGTGCGACTACGGAAGCATACAAAGACCCTCGGCAGCTTTGGTGCGTGGAATAGATGTTTAAATCATCTGTTGACGCTTGCAGAGTCCCACGTCGAAACCGTCATCCTTGAGAATTTCATTGAAGCGATTAAGAGGTATCGTATCATATCTATATCCTCCGGCTTTATGTTTTTCCGTTGGTGATCTGACGGTTGCTTCGCAATCCAGCTGTCCGGATGCAAGTTCTCGAGCTGCTTTGAAGCTTGTTTGTGATCTTTACGCCTTGAACCGCATATGGAATGATATAGGAACTTATCGCAATGTGGATTACGTTGCCCCTAACAAAGCAAAGGTAATAACGCACATAAATGCCTGAATTTTGTAAGATGCGGGAAACAACCTATCTACTTTGGGTAGAGGCAAGTTCTGCGTACGACCCATTCAAAGTAAGGGGTCGTTTACCCAAATACTTATCCGGTAAGCGCTTACTGGTAGGAGTTAACACTATAATCTATTTTACCAGATAAGATTGTATTATAGTAAAACGGTATCGTATGCAACAATTTACCCGGTAAACGCTTACTCCATCTTCTCCTGAATGGTTCTTTTTGGGAAGTAATCTGATGGGTTCCATGAGAATCTCAACATCTGATTTCCATGTCAAAATTTTTCCATTTCTCATCAAGATGGAAGTAGCATTATATTCTCAAGGATCTCGGGATTTTTACGTTTTTGCGGCGCCATTTTGATCCGAATATGAATGAATGTTGTTGTAGGCAATCCACAAGCTGGCAGAGTATTTGAGTTTTCAGGTGAAGAACATCGCTCGAGAACTTGTCGATGCGTTTGATTTACCTGATTACGTCACGAGGGCCCCAATCGGCAAGCAGTCGCTCGGTGAAGCGTATACAGAATACACGCAATACGTCGGTTTCTAGCTTACCAGAAATCATATTAGCAATCAGAAAACATAACGTTGAAGTATGAAAAAGAACAACTCCTCAAGAACAAGTGTAGTGTGAAAATGTTGTAAAAGTTGGTTTCATACATGAAATGATGCTAAATCTCCAAAATATCTTCAAATGGCAAATTCCTCCTACTTTACATGTCTCTCTCAATTTAATCGAATTCCGAATACAAACATATATGAAATAATACCATAAATTATGTAATTTTTTTTTTATATCAGTAAGGAGTTCATACTATAATTTATTTTGATGTGTAAGATTTTAGTACATCAAAATGTATCGAATGCAACAATTTACAGGGTAATCGTTTACCTGGGTAAGTGTTGTCATCTTCATTTACTGGGTAAGCCTCTCCATCATTCTCATCGCTCTTACCCGGTAAGATTCTTGGCCTTTATCATGTTCATCCGATGAGAAAAATTTATCGAGTAAGCACTTACCAAATAAGCATTTTGTAAACAACCCCTAACCACATACCTTACACAGAAAGGTGCATGTACCGAGTTAATTTAATACCAAATGGACTTTACTGTTTGGAACGATTAAGTCCTTAGACAATTTTTTGGAACAAATAAATCCTTGGACATTCTAGAATCTGTTAAATAAGTCATTGGACTTTACAAAACCTGTTAAATAGATCCCCATTCCTTAAAATTGTAACCTATAACCTGAATAGAAGGTAACCTTAAATTAAAAAAAAAAAAACTTAAAAAATTCTAAAAGCTCTTGACTACTCATCTATCTCCCCGTGACCATCGCTCCCTCCCGTCTCCTTCTCCCTCTCGCACACCATCGTCTCCCTCGCCCGCACCACCCCCGTCGCCACCGTACCACCTCGTTGCCGCCCCTGTCGCTCGTCTAATCAGGTTTGCTCTAAAATTACATTTCATTTTTTTGTAAGAAATTTCTGAGATTGAATGGTAATATTGTTCCTGGAATTATCTTGTTCTCTGTCAAAAGATTACATTAGCCAAAGAGGTGCAGACTAGATAAAAATAAGTTATCATGTGCAATCACACTCACAGAACTTACAATGTTTTTCTTCTCCTACTTGTATTTCATTCTCATCGCACAGGCATATTACTACATACCCACTGTTTATAGCCTTCCGCAAGTATAATGGCATTCCCTTTACCTAATATTATCCACCCAAATTCTTGAGTGAAATACTACATAATCCTAATTAGAGGGTAAGTCATGGAGGGGATATCTCCTAATTAGAGGTGAAAAAGGCAATAGAGGTAGACCAAGACTCAACATTCCAAAACCAACTACGACAAGAAGAGCCAATAGAGGTGGAAGAGGCAATAGAGGTGAAAAAGACAATAGAGGTGGGAGGATACCATCATATGTAGGGGTCTCTTATAATCCAGTCATGGGAGAAGCAATGATTGGGGTAAGCCATTATTTGTTTTTCAGATTCAAGTAACATTTTTTTATGACTATTGCTTACACTTTATTTTCATCATTAAAGACATCCTCAGGTGTGCCTGTGCCATAGCTAGCATGGCCCGAAGGCATCCTACCGTATTCAATTTCAAGAGAGGCTGTTGTTAACGATGAAGACCGTGATGGTGATACTACTGTTGGTGATGAAGAACATCATGAAAGTGATGATGTTGTTAGACATCAAGAAGGGTTACAAGAAAGTCAAATGRCTATATCTCCACCAGAATTTAATGATGCAAATGAAGAATAGTTCATACCATGAACTTAACATAGATTAGGCATTACTTTGGTATATTTTAGCGCAACTTTTGGTATATTTTGGCGTAACTTTTGGTATATTTGGCGCAATTGTTAGTATTTTCTTGTGCAACTTTTGTTACATATTTTGTTTCAACTTTTGGTATATATTTTGGTTTAACTTTTGGTATAATTATGCCCAAAATTTGTATGCAGATTATTATGCTTTCGATACAACTTTTATATTTTGCGAATAGTAATGAGAATGATATATTTGTTTTTTTTATTAATGTAAGTACTTTTTTCGTTCAAAAATATTTATGGACTTTATCGTTCAAAATATGAAAGTCCATTGGTTTTTTCGGACCTTTTCCACTAACAAAATGTATTTAACAGATTTTAGAAAGTCCAAGGACTTATTTAATAGGTTTTGTAAAGTCCAATGACTTGTTTAACAGGTTCTAGAATGTCCAATGATTTATTTGTTCTAAAAAATTGTCCAAGGACTTAATCGTTCCAAACAGTAAAGTCCATTGGGTTTTTTTTTGGACTTTTCCTATTTATTTTCTCCAAAACATGTTTACCAACTTTGTAAAGTCAACTGTTCATATGCAGCCAAAAGCCTGCATATTTGAAGACAAAGGACAAGTTCTCCAATAGATGCTTGTCACGTGGATTGTACCTTCTGACTTGTATTAAATGCAATAAGTATAAATAGCTAAAAATAACTTTTACCTTAGTAATTATTCAAATCTCGGGGTCAAATTGTTCAGTGTAATCTCGACCGATCAGGATATTATCCTCGACGAGACTACCTTGATAAATTAGTCATTGATATCTCCGACAATATTAATATCCACGACAGACGTTCATCGACAATCAAGATCCCTATCAATTATCCTCGACTAATACTAACACAGATTATCTTCGATGACCATTATCTCTGTCATTTATTGTAGGTTTTAAAAATTTATGACCAAAATTCATCTTATTGATGCACCTGGAGTAACCGATGACCGTATTCAGTGACTTCATCAAGACATGACCGTCATCTCCGTAATGACAATTGTTACTCAAGCTACCTATAAATAGGTTAAAGAGCATGCGAAGAGACATCACGACTACGACCATAATACTGAAATCATACTACGAAGAACAAACTGCAAGTTCATCTAAAGAAACATTCATCGCTAAACTTCTGTCTTAAGTATATATACGACACGTCATGTTTATCTACGATCTCTAGTTGTAGTTTGTGTTGTTAAGTACGACGCCCCTGATTGACGTCTACAGTGCATCGACAATGTCTCTGATCATCCACAGTTTTTACCCTCGATGGTGTTTTCTACGTCACTATAATCTCTTGTTTATTTCATAAGTTGTATTTGTAGTTGATTAGTTCCGTGATCCCTCAAATTATATTAATTGTAATTTTCGGCATAAACAGTAACCATGTCCCATTTTCAAAGCAAAATTCAAACCTAGAGGATGAAAATGCGAACTTATTGAAGTTCATGTCCCACTTTCAAAGATTCGCTAAACTCAAGGACCAAAATTGAATTTTACTCTTCGGAAAAAAAAACAAAAAAACAAATAAAAACAATTTTGAAAATGCAACTTCAACATTATGCTATTGATCAACGGGTTCCACTTTGATTAGCGATATTTAACATGTTCATATTTAACATCTAGTTTTAGAGTTTTACTACGTTACAACTTTGGATAGTGTATTTTTGGTATTTTTGAAAATATATAATACGAGATCGGCCCTTGCCGTTGGAAAGTTCGTTTTTCGCCCAACGTAACGAATTCTTTTAAGTTGTTAACATGGACAATTATTGTCTTTGTAATTTAAAGATCAGATCTAATATCATGAATATTTTTATAAGACTTAAATTTGTACGATCAAACCAAAAAACACCATATCTAAAAGTGTTACAATAGGTTTTTAGAATTCCTTTTAGGAGTTTTAACAAGTTTTTAGGACGCTTTTGAATTACAGCGTCGTATGAACTTTTATATACGACACCACTTGAAAAGGTGTTGCATAAACACAAGTGTTCTATAAAAATATGGGTTTTTAGGACATTTCTTAAAAACATCATATAAACCTATCGTAATGCTTTTAGATAGAACGTTTTATAGTTTGGTTCTATAAGCAAAAATTCTATAAAGTATTCTAATAAAACGCTTAGACAATCTAGACATCCTATAAAGTCAATTTTATAGTAGTGAGATCTGTTCAAACTATAAATATTTAAAACATGTTCGTTCGAAAATATGTTCCTAAAATAACAATCGAAAGAAAATAAAGCTTGTTTGAAAGACTTCATGAACTGCACTAGGTACTGATTACTAAACGCTTAACCAGTAAGTGTTTATCAGGTCACTTTGCCTTATCGAATGAAGATGACAAGAATTGAAAATTTTGTCCAGTTAGAGCGATAACAAGGCCCGAGAGTTTTATCGATAAGTGAGAGTGACGACTTTTATCTGGTAAACGCTTATGGATAAAAACGTTGCATACGATGCCGTTTTAATGGTCTAAATTCTTACCTGATAAGTTAAATGAAAATGTTAGACTAAAAAGAAAATGAAGGATAGATTTGTATTCAATTAAATAGCAGAACGAACAACATTAACGATTCGAGCAAATTAACGAGCTATCTGAGCTCGAGCTCATTTATCTCGAAACGTTAGTTCATATCGTAAGTAAAACAACAATAAAAACCGACACATATTCATATGCTATAAGCTCTCGGCGGTGCTCGATAACTCGAATACACATTTCCGAAAGTCTCGGTGTTTTGCTTCATATCTTCATACATCTTCAATGAAGCTTCCGAGAAATTGGTCAAACGATCAAGAACCTTGGTCAAACCCGAATGAATCGTGCTCAAACTCGAAGTTCTAACATCACCATTCTTCGTCTCCTCTCTGTTCTCAATAGACGAAATCCGTTTGTGCTCCAATTCTTCCAACGAAAGCCGGCGAATGTGAGCTAACAAGTCCTTAATGGCATCACTGAGTTTTTGAGACGGAAGATTCCGGAACCCGGTTGACCAATCACGACAGATCACGAAAATGGGCGGGGCCACTGCTCGTCGGGGAGAAAACGCTCGCCGGTTTTTCACACGTTCCTTTGGTTGAATGATGCAGTTATGCAGCCAACCGTTGATTGATTCAATGTATGAAGAATGCGAATTTACCAAATCCGCAAAACTTGATCCGAAACATTCGATCTCGTGCTGCAGATCGACAGTAATCTGGTTTTTGGATTCGTCATGATGAGTTCCGGTTTTTGAAATCTTGGAACAGTACGCTAATGAGCTGATTATATATTGAGCATGGTGGCACTCGAGCATCGACTTCCACATCCTGATTAATCTGCATCACGTTCAATCACACGTTATAAGCGGAATTTTACATATTCACGTTTCGGTAGTCAAATGAAGGAAAGTGTATAGACGTCGTAAATATATTTGCAATGTTGAAAATGCAAACTTACCCTTGAATGAGTTCTACGAGTTGCGGTTGTAACTCATCGTCCCTCATTTTCTCGATCCGTTTCGATATGGTATCGACCGTATGCAAAGCAACCCTCATACGTGAATGCAAATCTTTTGCCACGGCTCGAGTTTTATCCATCACGTGAGGTTTAAGATCCTTTGCGAATTGGTGTCTAAGTTGGTCACACGTTTGGTCATACTCCTTCCTAATAGACTCGCTCGCCTGAAAAACTCGAAAACAAAGGAATTCTTATCAATTTCGAAGCTAATCGAAATGCCGTTCGACCCCAAAAGCCGATTCTGTAATTCAAGTCGTCGATAAAATAGAAGCAAATTATTTTTCCTCCCTGACGACCAATCACGTGAAGACATATTATTGAAGAGAGAATACAAAGATGAATTAAATAATATAATGATGTGTCTTCGTGTGATTGGTGGGACAAGAGGATACATGGGATTTAGGGACAAAGATTCTCCTGTCCCCAAATCCCATGTCCTCCACCAGTCCCCACCAATCACGCAAAGAAACACAACTACTTCAATAATGTGTTTTCATGTGATTGGTGGGCCGGAAGGACACATGAGTTTTCGGGACACGTGTTTTTTTTGGGGGGGGGGGGGTACCTTCACTTCGTCATAGAGCTTCCTTTCCCAAGCATACAATCTATCGAGAGTTGAAGAATGCCTTCCGGCAATCATGCAAAATTCTTCCACGAAATTATTCTCGTTATCATCGTTTGCTGGTGTGCCCGGAGGGTTCGATGAAGATGAATGTGAAGATGTTGACCGTTTCCATGTAATGACTTTCGGACTATGCGGAGGTTCTACGTATGGAAAAAGCACATATCAACCTTTGGTTTATAAATACCCCGGAGAAATTGGAAATGCTATACGGATCTTGCTCCCTCGGTAACTAAAAGTTCGATTTTTGCATGGTACGGTTTTGACTAAAGTTGTTCAATCAACCATAAGGTCTATCATTTCTCAGATCTATATATAGAGTTGGGTTCACGTGAGACCAGTTTGTTTTCATGAGAATACCAGTTTACACTGAAACTTCACAATAAAACATTGTGAAGGTACAAAAGTACATCAAACCTTCACAACAAAAACATTGTGAAGGTTTACCTTCTAGTGTTTTGCTCTGAAGGTTTTTAGTTATTTATATGGTCTCATGGATCTCACGAAAACAGCATGGTCTCACATGATCCAAGTCCCTGTGTATGTGTGTGTGTGTGTATATATATATTCATGGCATAATATGGCTTATGAGAACGAACAATAAACGTAAACTGCAAATGTTAAACAAGTTATATCGAATGCAACGAAACTTACCTTGCAAAAAGAGCGCGGTTTCTCGTCTAAAACAAGTTAGTAGCGACAAAGATGATGCCATCGAGCTACCTGATTAAGCATTCGTTGAATTATACCATCTACGATATCAAAGAATTAGAACGAATAATTGACGATATACCTCTCGCTTCGGCATAGCTTATTTGGATTTTATTTGCCTCGAGCATTTTCGACACTTCATTGCCCGATTTCGATGCTCTAAAAAAGTAATTCTCGATCTCTTTAATGCTCGAAAGAAAATCTTTAGCTCTATGAGCGATAAACTCCGAAGGATCCTCTGTTTCTTCCTCCGTTAAACAACCGTTCTTCAACTCAGATTCTTCCATTCCAGCGTTTTTGCTAATCAAATTGGTTCCATTCAATTCACTACCGATCGTTGCCGAACCGGTGGCAACCAAATCACCATCCCGATGCCCGTCTTGATCGTTTCGAATTCGATCCTTTTTCACCGATTCAGGAGGTGTTACGAATCCTCCCAAATCGGCGTCTGTTTCAGTGAACTGTTCGTTCTCATTTGTATCATTGAAGTTAACTTGAAATCCATCATGGCCCATAAACCTAAAGCTTCCATCTCTGGGATGGAAGTAGTCCCAAGACGGCGGTGGCGGTGGTGGCGGTGGTGACATTGTGAATGACAAAGATTCAACATCATCTACGTAAACTTTATTATTATTACTAATCTTGGATGGATTAAGGTTAACAGTGACGACAGCATCCCCACCGGATTTCATGTAACTTAACCTCACATTTGGCGATGGGCAACCCGATTGGCCACCGCCGTCACCACCGGTGGCGCCATTGCAGCCGATTTGCGGTGGAGATGGTAATGGGGTTTTTGAAGACGATTCTAAGGGAAATTCAGCCTCTGCGAATTTACGTAGGGCGATTCCTATGTTTCGAAGGGATTGAACATAAACAACATGTGCTGCTGCTAAATTGTACCTTGAATCAATGGCTTGTTTGATGAATTTTTTCCTTTCTTTGCATAATCGCAAAGCTTCACAGGTCTCTGCTTTTGAATTCGAAACCCCCATTTTCAGTGTGAAATGAAGAGCAAAAACAGAGATGAATCCTAACTCAAAAAGAGGAAACGGTAACCTAATCAGTGAAACCAACCGATTTCATCACCATTGTTATGGCTTGAACCCGGATCCCAAATGGGCAAAACCGACACAAATGTGGATTATGTTCTATTTCTTCTCCAATCACCAATTATTAACAGAGAAGAACACAAAGAACCCTAATGCATATGCAAAACGAGTTGGGGTGTTCAAGAAAAACAGAAAGAAATCACTCAGATTAGCAAAATGATTTGGGTTATGGAAGAAAAAGAGGACGAGGCTGGCAGCAGAAAAGTAGATGAATATCTGGGAATCGATCAACTTTTGAGAAAGATTCGAAATCAGGGTTTTATGAAGGTGGGTGATGGTGGCTTGATGGAAAAAGTTGGAGGAATCTGACAGATGGTGGACATGATGAGTCATCAACACCGCCATTGTTCTTTCACTTCGCACAAAGGGAGACCTTTCTTTGGGAAGATGCGGAACGTACCATAAAATATTAATGGTAAAGATGATAACTTTATGAGATGATTATGAAAAAATAATTTCACATTTAAAGTCAAGATTATTAATTTTAAATAATTAGGGGTGTTTGAGATTGTTTATTTAAAACAACTTATGCTTTTTTATAAGAGCATTTATTAATTTATTATAAGTCAGAAGAGTTGATTTCTTCAAAAACTCTTTATTACCAATTTGGCACCGATATAAGTTGTTTATCAAAACACTCGTAAGTGCTTATTACCGGTGTCACACCGGAATAAGTCAATAAGTTATTTTTATAAGCAATCCCAAACACTCTTACAAAAGAAGTTTTATTTTCATTTTTGTGTAAATTACAGAAATCATCTCTTGGGTTTTGCAAATACTCTCATTTTTGTCATTACAAAGTTTGTATTTTCTAATAAAATTATACCTGATTGATAATTGACTAGTTGTTAGAAATTATCGTAAAAAGTTCTTATTGGAGGGATATTTTGGTCATTTTCATGATTTTTATAACATATTCTTTTTATATAACACAGTTATTTAAAGGTTGACTATAAGCCGATACAACGTTTATAGACACAAAAACAAAACCTAAATTAACCCTTTCCCCCACGTGACTCCCCCCTCAAGCGTTGATCACATCCATCTTCTTCTCTTCTCTAATGACTAGTCTTATTCTTCGACGACTAACTTCTCTCCAAATCCGCACATAAACATGCACCTATATGGTTGTGCTTTGGTAACTGACTTCACCAACGACTGTCTTCTCTGCAAATCCACACAAAAACATGCTCCTATATGGTTGTGTTTTGGCAGTTAACTTCACCGACGACTATCTTCTCTCCAAATCATATACCCGTGAATACACATCTATGCGGTTGTGTTTGATTTACGCATAGAAGATATATATCATACACAAAAACACATATACACACAAATAAATCGTATACATTCACACACACACATGCCTTATGGTGGGTGGAGAATAGAGAGGGACTTGCAGTCGGGTCGGGGGTGTAGGCACGCAGGGATGTCCCTCATAACTTCTACACTAATTTTTTTTTTCATAAAAATATTGATAAAATGATGGAAATGTCCCTCATGTATAATGTACAAACGGTTAGGGACGAGGTAATGAGATATAAACCCCGATGACCTTCCTTGTAATTTTCAAAATTCAAGGACGAAAACCGAACTTTTCATAAACCTTATGAACTATTTATGTAATTTACTTATTATGTTTTAATTAATTACCTTTTTTGTCCTTGAAGTTTGTTAGTTTTTTCGGGTTTTGTCTCTCAACCTCATTTATTACAAATTACTCCATGATGCTTGAAATTTCATTTAGGTCTCATCCTTCTACTAACAGTTGTTAACTTCCGATCGCTAAATCTTAAACGAGGGTGTTTTGGTCTTTTTACTTATTCTTAGTTTGAAAATGTATTATATTATATTATGTAGCATATCACCCTTTCTTTCTCTCCCATCACTTTCACCATTGTCGTATGACTTGAGGTACCTTCTCACTTCTACCACCGTCATCATCCCAAGTCTCAACTCATTTGTTTCCTGAGGCAACCGCCATTGCACATGCCCTAAGCGGTGACCCTAGCCACAACCACTTGTTTTCGTTGATGTTTGATCTCCTCCTTGTGTCGCTATTGTGGCACCTGTAACACCATTCCCCAATACCTCCTTATTTCGCTATCCTGATTATGTTACTGTTGATCCCTCTCTTCTGTTGCGGTGTCTCTCTAACACCCTCTTCTTCTTTTTGTGAGTATGAACTCTAACCCATCTTCCTCTATTACCATGACTTCTAACACTACTTTATCCTCCAACCCGATCATCGGGAACTCCCAGTGTAACAATGTAACACCCAGAATATTTGGTAAGTGAGATTTCAGATTTATTTTATCTTTGGAATTATATGCAATTATGGCATAATTATATAATATATCACATGCTTTTGAGTGTGTTAGTCATTCAGTTGGAGTTGTGTAGTTTTATGGCTAGAATACAATGGATTCATAGGCATAGAAGTCGGATTTAGGGAGTACGTAAGGGATGAGATTCTCAAGTCGTAACTTAGAAATAGACATTGTGACTATTATGTAATTTCCAAGTGAATGAGTTTAACGTGAGTTTCCTTTTGTTTTTATTGGAAATAGGCATTGTGATTATTATGTAATTTCCAATTCATTTCTCACTGTAGCTTGGAAATAAGCATTGTGATTATTATGTAATTTCCGAGTCAATGAGCTTTCGATCACAATTGACTAAATGACTGTCATGAGTTTATGTCATTGGTTTTATACCTAAAGAGATGTAGCTAATAACATTAGCTTGTGGCTTACTTATGTGTTCCGTCACAAAGAATGGTAAATCGGGTCTTCCCCGTCATTTTCAGATGTTTAGAGTAAACGTGGATTAATTGTTTTTAAGACTTGATTAAAGTCGTGTTTCCCGTTTTAATGTTTTATAACTTTATTCTTAGGCGTGTGAGTATTGAGCTTTGATTGCGTTGGGTATTCTGATTAACGAGTCTTCATCAAGAAAATGGTGGTTTTTCCGAAAAGATGTTGAAATACATTTCAATTGAAAAATTATGATCTAAATCATCGGTCTTTCGGTATTACGATTATGATGAAAACTGCTTGAACTCACTAGGCGTTAAACCGAACATTGAAAGAATAATACTATAATAAGTTTTTTCGATGTTAATTTTATATGGTTATGATAAATGAGGTTTCAATGGTGATTTGGATAAGGTGGGACGAAATCCAATAGAAAATTGCAAACGTGAGGAAGTGATTTGTAATAAATGAAGTCGAGGGATGAAATCTAAGAAAGCTAAAAACATGAAGGACGAAAAATGTAATCAATTATAATTTAATTTAAGGAAACAAGATAAAGGTTGTATTTTGTAACCATAAGCTTAAACTTGTTAGAAAATCTCCTTTTAGTTGCTTTTGAAAAGTTATTTTGAATAGTCTTTTTGATAAGTTAGTGGTGTTTTTCTTTCACTTTTTTCCAATTTGGCCCAAATATTACAATTCAGTATTTATATTTTACAGTATCATCAAACTTATCAGTTGACTTTTACATTATATAATTATTAGAAGGGCACTCGTGCAATGTAGCGAGATATATCTTGATTTTAATGTTTCGTTTTATTCTGTAATATGTTGATGTTATAATACGGTTTCATGTGGTTTTGAAGAAAACGATAATGTTTTTATTTTTTGAATAAAGTATAAGTTTGAAGATATTTTAAAATTTTAAAAAAATATATATCGATTTTGGTATCAGATTAAATACTTAAAAAGTTCTTGTTTTGTTGTGTAATTTCTTTAATTTAATTTTTTTTTATTATAATTGAACTTAGGTTTAATAAAGAAGTAATTTATTTTTGATTTAATAATATAGTTTTTTTTTATTAAATATAATAACTAAATATTCTGTTAGGACACATTGATTATCCTAATTATATTTTAGATTTTTTATATTTAAAATGAAATATTTTTTATAAGTATTTGATTATGCTTTTTCGCAGTTAGTTACACAAATTCAAACATGGAGCTTTAATAAGTTGTACTTTTCCATTATTTACTTGTAATCTTGAAATTTAAGTAATATGCATCGACAAACAGTATTTCAAATATAAAAAATAATTTTTAAGAGTTCTTGTCAAATGCTTTATAATATAATATAGATTTTATCAGCTATCTTATAAATAACAATTAATTTATCAGTTAGTTTCTTAACAGATCATGATTAAAAAAATCTAATTATTAAATGAGATATTAAATTGTCTAATTAATTGATTATATCATTCCTTAAGGACAAATCCAAATACCTTTACACGTGCTATGGAATCCATTTGGTCACTAATTCTTTTTTATATTAAATTCTATTGAAGAATGTTATTCCATCAATTTCTTAAAAGAAATCCATTCAATGAATATTAAACACGAGATGTACAAGAATCAGTTGGGATGGCAAAAAAACCCGAAACCGATGGTAAAAACCGAAAATCGAAACTTTCGGGCCAGGTTCGAGGACATCTTATCGAGGACGGGACAGGGACAAATTCGGGGATTTTAACGGGGACGGGGACGGTGATCACCGGTCCGGATCGATATATATATATATATTAATTTTAATTTATATACATTAACCGATTTGTATCATTAACCGATCTTAAACATTACAGAAAAGGTAAGATATACACAAACTACAATGTTACCAACTATCACATGTTAACATTCAACAATCATTCTCGGGTCGGGTCGGGCCGGGCCCCACCCATTTTGGCCATCTCTAACTGGATAACTACCACATTGTTGTTCAAATTCATTCAAGCTCCTACAGTTGCAATAGAACTACAAATTAGTTTGGGGGGAAGGAAATTGTTGAAGCCGATCCCATATCCGACGCATTAAGTCGGATTGATCGCAAACTTCTTGCCGTAATTTCTTGACATCTTGCCGTAAATCTCTCACCTCAAGCTCGAGCCTAGCGAGACATGGTTGGAACTCGTTACGCCAATCCTGAGATCGACCAAACTGTGATGGTGGCACGTCTGAATCCTCCTCACGAGGAACTATAGCTAGTTCATCGTTTACATCCATGTTCATATGAAGTCGGGGTTCAGAACTCTCGCTAACGTTTTCTTTCCCTTTTCCGTTTGTTTTCTTTGCAATATCCATCCGTCGGATCGTGGTCCCGTTAATGCCGGCACCGGGAACCTCAGTAGGACATGGCGGGAGGTCAAGATGGTCAAAGAGGCGATTCAGTAGGAGACCATAAGGTAGTTTACGGTTAGTTAACACGATTCCATCCATTCTTTTCGCTACAATATATCCTACGTCGACTTCAATAG